GGAGCTGAGACTTCATTTTTGTTTTATTGTTATTTGTTGAATGTAAGCCTAGGGCTGTATTTGTGTAGAGTTGAAACTCCATTTTGTGTAACCAAGAATGTTCTTGGATAAATTTGTAAGCCTGTATGGAAATTATTATCTGTTTGGCTTCCATTTCATACTTGCTGTAAAATGTATGCTAGGGATTAGAACTGGGGCATTGAGATGTGAATAGCATGTGTTTGTCATTTGGGATTTAATGGAAACGGATGTATGGTATAGTTAGCTATATATATGTTTTTGTCTATTAGGTGGGTTTTGTTGCATAAATAGATATACCCTGCCCAATTTTTTGGGCGTTACAACTTGGCATTAGAGCTATCGGGTTTGAATACTTGGGGCTTGTGGGAAGTGGTTTTTACCACATTGGGTTCATTTCGCTAGTGAGAAATGTTGCATATCTTATGTGCTATGTGATAACATGTTTATGTGACTATGTGGGTATAGGGTTAAACTTCTGAGATGTGATTTGTGTTCATGAAATTCTTGAGGTCCTTTTAGAAAAGCACCTGATCAATGCTATTTCTATTTGGAAGTCTTTGAATGTTTATGGAGCGAATAAATATCTTGGAGGGGTAACTCATATGTGCTCTATGTGGCTATGTGCTTATATGGTTTGCCTTATGTGATGTAGATACATGTGTAGGTTTATGTTTAATCCATATGTAGCGTGTTAGAACTAGTGTGGAGTACTTACTTCTGAGCTAAATCCTGTCTCTTATATAAGATGTCATAAAGCGGGAGAGGCTGTAATAGAGGTACTTGGGGTGCCCAGGATGTTCTCATGTAAGAGGATACCTTTTCACCAGGAAGAAAGTGTAAGCTAGAGTAATATGGCCAGGATGATTGGTCAAGATGTTGTGGAATTAGTAATTAAGCGTAGGTTAATCGATTTGTATGATTGTGGGTGTAAATGTGACCTTAAAATATTAGAGTTTGTGTTGTGTAGCGACTGGTTTGTTGTTATGAGGAGTTAATTATTTTTCAATTTTATATCAAGTTTGTAAAAGTGGACTAGATGAAAAAAAAAATCTAAGAAATAGTAGTACCATCATTGAGGAGTTATTGTTGTGTTTACAGCTCTATGATTAAAGTAATCTAAGATAATATGCTTTGGATTGTTGACATTAGAACACATAAAACTAGTTCTAAATTTTCTTGGGATAGACAAAGTTAGTTATAGTTGGATTGTTTCACTTGCTTGATGGACTACTTGTGAGGTTAGTGATGGGCCTTAGGCCAATTATTTTGTATGTGTTTGGGACTAAATGTAGTCTTAGCATGATAGAAATTATATCGTGTAGTAAGAGATGTGTTTCTTAGAGAGTTTGTTTATTCATCCCGAACGAATTCCGGTGGTCTGGTATAGCCACCTGCCTGTGTTTGTGGTGAGTTTCTAGGAGATCCACCGAGACGGTGGAAACTAGAGTTCAAGTGGCCGAGGCCTAGAACGCAAAGGTTCGGGATTTCCGAGACTAAAGTCTGGTTTAAATACCCAGGGTGTATCCTCGGCTTGAAATCTGTATGGCAGCCCCATAGGTTGAGTAGTATGTATACGCCTCAATTCTGGATACTAAACCAACCTAGTCTGTCACCCTGTTGGAGAATAGGGAAAGTTGCAAACATAGCCAGGGAGAAAAGTAGTACCCATGGTTGGGAAGTGCAACATGAAGGAAGAAGTCTTGAAACTAAGAAGAAGCGGAAGATCCACAGCAGCATAAGGTAAGTCATCGCCAATTGCCCCTCTAAGGTACTTCCACTTCCTAGCTGCATCATCTATCATCTATTACCTCTATCGCATTGCATATAGCATCTATCGCATGCATCTACTACACTATCCATTGTATTCATTACATCAATATCCATTTTATCGCCTGCATCCTTTCCATGTTAAGCTTAGTTTGGCATGTGCCCATAGCTTTCCCTTGTTGAAACATGGTTCTGTCATGTGTAAGTACCCATGTTACGCTAAGGCCAGTATTAAGAGTGTCGGTACCTTTTATGTGTTAGACGTGGTTTGTTTTGTGTCCATCCCCTTTCTAGGTAAGACGTAGTTTGGCTTGCGCTCCTTGTTCACTACATCCATTACACCTATTGTATTGTACTTTGTCTTGTTGCATTCAACATTTAGGATCATTATCTTTCCCCAGGAGATCACTCATCACTTATATCATCCCACCCAATTACTTGTATTCTTTCTCTTTCTGTGAAAAACATAGTCTTGTATGTGCTCGCACCCTTTTCACGTTAAAACATGGTTCTGTTATATGTAAGCATCCATGTTGGGATGGTCCAACACTGAGGATGTAAGCCTGTGTTAGGTGTCGTTCGGCTCGTGCCCACTGCCTTTTCTATGTTACACGTAGTTTGATTTTTGCATCTCCATCCCTTTATGATATTTGTGTGGTTTCGTACTGCTTATGGTTTTATCATTTCAAATACATTGCATATCATTTGCATTGTTTCGTAGCATTGTATATTATTATATTGTTTTGTAATATTGTATATCATTCGCACTGTTTTGTACACTTTACTTGCATTTTTGCATTTCATTTCATCGCGCTATTTTGCGCACCTTACCTGCACTTGTTAGTGCATTATATTGTTTTGTATCCATACCGCATTGTTATGTGTCACACTTAGGTTGCATTGTCTTGCATCCATTCCGCATTGTTATGCGTCACACTTAGGTTGCATTGTTTTGAATCCATTCCGCATTGTTATGCGTCACGCTTAGGTTGCATTATCTTGCATCCATACCGCATTGTTATGCATCATACTCAAGTTGCATTGGCATGCATCCCTCGACCTGCGTTGTCGCGCAGTTTTAATTTGCATTGATGTGCATGTTGCTAACAATATTGTATCTATTGAGTTTCTTCCTCTTTCAGGTACGATATCGTATGTACGGTTCATTTGAGGCTGGCGCGGCCAGACAAACCGGACAGGTATTGTATACTCTCCGCGTGAGACGTAGCGAGAATTGTATAATTCTCTTACATCCTTTCTGCATGTATTGTAGTTAGATTTGTTTGTTTGATTAAAACTGTTGCATGTAATGCTTCGTTACAGCTTTCTTTGCACGATCATAAGTTATGTTCGGCTTTGTGCATTGTCATTTGCATTTTGCCCCTGCCTACGGGCGCATATCTTTATCTGCTAGCTTGTATGCTTTGTCTAAGTCTTCGGCCTCGTCAAAAATGGGTCGTCTCTGGGCTTTAACATTCACTCCCATCATTGTTATGACTTTCGAGTTCTGTCAAAGAGGGGCAACTTCCCCACAGCCACCAAAAATGACATAATTATTTTGATTCTCCACATAAATATCAGTAAAACAGCACCACAAAAGAAGACAATATGCAACAATGCAGAAAGGATCACATAAATGATAAAATGGAGTATTATATGGACAATCAAAATCATATGATATCAACATATAACTCACTAAAAACTATAAAACAAATAAGGATCAATAAAGCTTATTGGTCTTAAAAGCAGAAACCAATTTGTACACCCATCGATGGAAACATCACCGTGAAAGGTTTTCCTCAAGATCAATAGTACACCCATCAAATTTCCAAATATAACTGCATGCTTAAAAAATAATTCTATGTAGACAAGATATTTTAACAGAACTGGTAAAAATGCATACTTCTCTGTTAGTACCAAACTACCTATTCATATGGGTTCAACTCTGACACAAACTGAGATGCACATGAGATCCAGAACCAATATCATCTAATGCATACCTGGGGCAAACAAAACAATGGAGATAACAGTTAAGAGACATAGCTTGAAGAAGAAAATTCTGCAGGTGAGGAAATGAGTGAAGTTTAACCAATATCAGATCCTTGTCAAGGATCTTCACCTCTCCCCCAAGATGTTCTAGCCAACACAGAACAGGGAACATATATGGTCTGGTTCCCTTAACAAACCTGAGTTAGATTAAAATTCACATCAAACGGATCGAGAAATACCTATAATTAAAATTCACATCAAAAGGATGAAGTAAACAAAAGTCAATTAAAATTCACATCAAACAGATCGAGAAATACCTATAATTAAAATTCACATCAAAAGGATGAAGTAAACAAAAGTCAAACAGAATCAGTTAAATTAATTTTATTAATTCAACATTAAAACTAATTTTTGGCTACAATCTGTATTAAAAACTCAATACTACTTGAAGGATAGAGAAATACCTTGATAGAGAGTGAATTAACCAATCGATGTCTTCAAAGTAGCAGAAATCTGCAAAAAAATGAAGAAGAAGATGAAGAATCAAACCAATAGAAAAACTGCATCCATGACAATGTGCAGGCCAATAGAACAAAAATATGAACTACTTATTGTGTTATTTATAGATCTACAATATATATATATATATATATATATATATGAACATATTTTCAAAATAAAAAACAAACAGGTTCAAACAGAAAGAGTCATATGCACATATTTTCATTCGAATTTTAGGTTGGTAGATAAGATTAGATATATGATGCGTAATTAGTACATCAAATAATTTAAATGAAGTGAACATAAGAATATGCCTCTGTTTATTAATGGACTAGCGTATGCCCGTGCCTGGAGGCACGGTACAATTAATGATGAGATTAAAATATAAATCAAAATTAGAGAGGAATGTATTCAAATTTATTGTTTTATGTTTTTTTTTTCTTTTCAAAGAGTAGGTAATGAATTCACAGAAAGGAAAAAAATTCCTAAATGAAGACATGAAACACCAATTTATTAGTAACCCAAATAAATTTAAGGAACCCCCAAAATTAGGAACCTCCATGACTCCCAATAGAAATTAAAGCCGTCAGGACACAGTTCTCACTATAGAAATTTGGGGCTTTACATCAAAAATATTTTACTCATCTAAAACTTTTCATTTTTGTTAAAATTATGTGGACTTTTAACTAAGTCTTCCTCTTGGGTAGATTCAGCAGTCGGATTGCACGGCTCAAACCCCCTCATATACTAACGGAAAAAGTCCTAACAAAATCAACAGCAAAACCAAATTTCTTCATCCAAGATTTCAACTGTAACTATGAACATCTTATAATAAACTTTCACTACAGGGGCATGTCAAAACAAACACTAACTGCAGATGGGCAATCAAATGGATTTCTAATGTAGACAGTGATGAGCTGGGTACCTCAGGAACTTCATCGTGAGGGCAGTGACCAGCAGGACTGATCTCATAATATGGAGCTTTTGGCAGCCGTCTTTTCACCTGAAGACCCCACACAGGCTTCACCCATGGGTCTTCTTTTCCATACATGAGACAGATTGGTACATCATTCGCTTGACACCTGTGAACAGAAATGAACTGGTAGTCCATAATTTGGAGCAAGAAAAGGGAAATTTTACATGAATTACTTGCAGGAGTTTAAACTTTAACAATACGTACCTAGATAAAGCCTCCTAGAAGGATAGTTGTCCCCGAGGAGCAAACATAATTGAGACAAAGGATGCAGCAGCTGCTGGGTGTTGTGCTGTCTCAAGGATACGGGAAAACACTTTATCAACCTCTGTTGAGTGATCTGCATAAACTTGCTTAAGCACCTCTGCAATACTTCCAGGATCACTTATTTTCTGCCAACTACAATCACATAAATAAAGCACTTGCTTAGTTAACTGCAACAATCAGACTTTTTTTTTTTCGAACTATAAATTACTAAATGAAGACCTGTCTTGTGTTTGACCACATAGCTAAAATTATGAGTTCACCACATAGCTAAAATTCATCCTCACCAGCTAGCACAGAGGAATCAAGAATCTTTACTCTGCTGCAACACTGAAACAAAATCCACGAACCCACATCTGAGATTTAAAGCCACAACATGCAGCCACCACCAACCCTTGAGCTTTATACTGGTTTACAATTAGCAATTTGACTAAATTACAATTACCCACAAGGGACCAACCCTCCAAACCACCACACATTCTAACCTAAATAAACCCTAACCAAAAACACATATAAACCAACCCACGCACATCATCACAGTACAACTGAACCTCTCTAAAATTACATTATGTGCACAATTACACAATATCTGAACCAACAATCATTGACATTTGAACCATCTACAATATTAGTGTACTTACAATGGGGTCATTCTAGAATACAGAGCCTTACCATATGTACATTTTTTATATTAATTACATAAATGTCATAACTAAATCATTTTCAATCATAACTTCAAAAAAAGTGTCACAACCAAACACCACAAAAATATATCCAAAGTCATTTTCGATTATAACCAAGATCACCATAGGTCATAACCAACAAAATAATAATCCTGATAATAGTGTCTAATCATCACCAATCATCTCTTCCACACATCATTGCATCTAAAAAGTAAGTCTAAAAAATAAGCTTCTATATCATTTTCCTAATCACAATAGGTCATAAACACCAGCCATGACCAAGTCATAACATAGGAAGTAACCAAAAGACCACAAAATCATAATTTGGCATATGATGTACTATAAAATTTTCTTCTCAACTAATCAACAATTTTGAGAGTATGTTAGATGTTACTTGGATTTTATAATTGAAAAATATAAACCATCAAGAATTTTGTAACCAGAAATTTACTTATTGATTAAATTTTGAGAATAAAGATTAGCTTTCCAAGACACATTGAATGCTGCTTTTGAAATGAGGCTAATGAGAATAAAATTTGTAATTTTGATGCTCATACAATTTCCTGAAATGAGAATAAAATTCCAAACCAATATGAAGGACTCACAGATGTCAATGAACATCCACCTAAACTACAGATGTCAATGACACTGGAAAGATATGAATGAAGTGCATGTAATAAAAAATTTAAAACATGAAAAAAATTTATTAAAGACAAACATAAAAGATTCAAAAAATAAAATTTAATTTGAAAACCAAATTTTAGCCATCATATTATTTATGTTCCACTTTAATGCATAGCCAACATGGTCATTAACCCTCTACATCTTCATAACATTGTTGCTTACACTAAAACATAAATAGATCACACAATAGATTAAATTAGTTATATAGTTTTATTATGAGTCATAACATAGGAAGTAACCAAAAGACCACAAAATCATAATTTGGCATATGATGTACTATAAAATTTTCTTCTCAACTAATCAACAATTTTGAGAGTATGTTAGATGTTACTTGGATTTTATAATTGAAAAATATAAACCATCAAGAATTTTGTAACCAGACAATCTACAACAAAACTATTTTCATTTCGTAAAGCGAACTGAGTATTAAAAAAATCACTGAAACAATTTAATTGCATCGAAAGACTAACCTCCGAAGAACACCAACCAGATCACCATCAGGCCCAACCAATGCAACATGAATCGAAGCCCCAATTCTTTCTTTAGCCTGGTCATCAATGACTAAAACAATCGGCAAGGACATGTTCACAATAGACCCATCTTTCATTCTCAAACAATTGAAATGCAAGCTCTGCAAATACTCATCCTCTCTCATGAGCGGACTCGCCCAACCCTCGCTGAGCACGTGAACCCATTCGAGATCAACCTTTGTTATCTTCAGCTTCGGCATTGATTCAGCCTTTAGAGTCTTCAAATCCATTTGGCTCTCCGACACCACGAGATCAACCAACGACCCACCATCTAGGTCGATCAGAGAGCTCTTGACAGCTAAAGGGTTTTTTGCGGAACAATCTACACAACTCATTCTTCGAGCAAATGAAAGAGAAGAAATACAATAAACAAATAAAATCTATACAATCTATGTACAAACAGCCTCAGCAGAATGGTGATCGTAATCTTTTAACGCAACAGCCTCAGCAGAACGGTGTGCCCTTTCTTCGGACACAATTATATGCCAAAACAGATTCAATAATAGACACAATATGAATTCCACAATTAGAGACCAAAATTATTCCACCTATTTTTCTGATTTCAGATTTAATAACAGACACAACATAATTAATAAAACAAAGAGATTCAACTAAGACACAACTAAGATCAAAACAGATTCATATTTACATTCCAAATAGAGGCCAAAACAAACACAGAGAGTGAGTGTGAGAGTCGATCGGTGTGCCAAAACAAACACAGATTAACAAACAGATTCATATTTACCCGTGTGTGAGTCGATCGGTGCAGAGATGCAAAACCAGAGAGTGAGTGTGAGACTGATGAGATGAGAGAGTGAGGGAGCCGATTAGGTCAGATCAGAGATATATATATATATAAAACAAAAAAAATCAACGATCGGGAGAGAGAGAGAGAGACAGAGATTGAGAGAGAGGGTTTACCTGTGAGTAGATCGGCTGTGCGATGATGATCGGTGCGATGAGATGAACAACGAGAGAGTGAGAGGGTGATCGGTGCAGAAACGAGAGAGTAAGAGAGACAGTGATGTTGAGATTAGGGATTTTGGTTTTGCGCCCGGGGGGTTGGGGGGATGGCAAAAAAAAAAAGCGGGAATGAAAAAAAAAAAAAAAAAAAAAGAGAGGGAGACGGGGGTGGATAAAAAAAAATTAAAATCTTTTTTTTTGGGGTCACAAATAAAATTTAAACAATAAAATAATACCGTTTAACTCTTTTTTTTTTTGTGACGCGGGTTGCTGTCGTTAAAAAAATTTATTTTTTGTTGAAATAAATTTTTTTTGTAGTTAATGAAAAAAATTTCAATTTTTTTTAGTTACTAAGATTGAAAATTTATTTGTTTCATTTTTATTTTAATTAAAAAAATATTATTATTATTTTTTATTTGGTAGAAGTAGGGGTAATATTTTAATGAAAAATATTTTCCACTAAAATAAAAGTTTATTTTCTGTAGTCAATGAAACATATTTTTCTACGGCCTATTTTTTTTGGTTAGTAAAAATCTTGAACTATTTTTTTTGTGGTAGAGGAAAGGGAGCGACATTAGTGGTGGAGGTGGTGGATAAGAGATGATGGTGGTGGTGGTGGTGGTGATGGCAAAAAATATTAGTGGTGAAGTTGTGGTAGTGGTAGTGTAGATGGAGTGACAGGGGCGAAAGAGAGGTAATGGTAGTAGTAGTGGCAGTAGTGGTAGTGGTGGTAGTGGAGTGGTGGCGATGGTAGTAGTAATGGTAGTCGTAGAGGTGAAGTGGCGACAGTGGAAGTAGTGGTGGTGGTGGAATGACGTTTGCAGTAGTGGTGAAGGTGGTAGAGGAGATGGGTGGTGAGAGAGAGAGAGATAAGTGAGAGACGGATAGAAGAGATAGAGAGAGAGAATAGAGTGGGAATGGAAAACAAAAACAGGCAGGAATAAAATTATTTTTTTTTGTCAGAAATAAAATTTAAATAACAAAATAATGTCGTTTTTTTCTTTTTTTTTTTTTTGCGACGGGAGTTGCCGTCGTAAAAAAAAAATTTTTTGTTAAAATATATATTTTTTTGTAATTAATGATTTTTTTATTTTTTTATTTTTTGTAGAGGATACAGAGTGGCAGTAGTGGTGAAGGTGGTGGATAAGAGATGATGGTGGTGGTGGTGGTAACGGCGAAGGAGATTAATGGTGAAGTTGTGGTAGTGGTAGAGTAGATGAAGTGGCAAGGGTGAATGAGAGGTAATGGTAGTAGTAGTAGCAGTAGTGGTGAAGGTGGTGGATAAGAGATGATGGTGGTGGTGGTGGTGGTGGCGAAGGAGATTAGCGGTGAAGTTGTGGTAGTGGTAGAGTAGATGAAGTGGCAAGGGTGAATGAGAGGTAATGGTAGTAATAGTAGCAGTAGTAGTAGTGGTGGCAATGGTAGTAGCAATGGTAGTTATAGAGGTGAAGTGGCGACAGTGGTAGTAATGGTGGTAGTGGAATGACGTTTGCAGTAGTGGTGAAGGTGGTAAAAGAGATGGGTGGTGAGAGAGAGAAAAATGAGTGAGAGACAGATAGAGGAGAGAAAGAGAGAGGGAGAGAGGGAGAGAGAGAGAGAGACAAAGACAGAGTGATGAGCGAGAGAGACAAAGTGGTCGCTAAAAGTGCATTTTCTTATAGTGGATAGATAAATCGAGAGGGAGCTCAGTAAATAGAGAAGACAAAAGGGAGAGAGTGAGCAACGCGAACATAGTGGGAGAGAAAGAGAGAGAGAGGGACAAAAAGATAGAGAGTGAGAGACAGAAAAAAGATAGAGAGAGGAGAGATGAACGAGAGAGAGAGAGATAAAGAGAAGAGAGATGAGCGAGAGAGACATAGAGAGAAGAGAGATGAACGAGAGAGAGAGAAGAGAGATGAGCGAGAGAGACAGAGAAAGATGAGAGAGATAGAGAGAAGAGAGATGAGCGAAAGAGACAGAGAGAGAAAAGAGATGAGAGAAGAGATAGATGAGTGCGAGACACACAGAGAGAGAGAGAGACAGATGGACAGAAAAAAAAGAGTGATGAGTGGGAGAGAGAATGAGAAAAGAGAGAGGAAGATGAAAAAATGGGTGAAAAGATATAGACAAAGAGAGAGTGAGAGAAAAAAAGAGCGAAAAGAGATAAACGAGAGAGAGACAGAGAGAGATGAGCGAGAGAGATAAAGAGAAGAGAGATAGACAGAGAGAAAGAGAGAGAGAGAGACAGACAGACAGAGAAGAGTGATGAGTGAGAGAGAGAGAGAGAGAGAGAGAGAGAAGAGAGACAGAGACAGAGAGATAGAAAGATGAAAAAATGGGTGAAAAAGTTCCGTGTCTAAAGCCTCATTTTCTAGTAGTGAGTCATCTCTATCATTCATGGGTAGAATAGAGGCGCGGATTTGGGAATTGTATATTTTATATAAAAATCAAATTGAAATATTTTATACAATCACACCTATTTAGGGAGTGTGATTAAAAAGTAGTAATGTATATATAATCACACTTTAATTAAAATGTGTGATTAAAAATATATATATAATCACACTTAATTGAAAAGTGACATAAAAAATAAATATTATCACACTCAATCAAATTAAGTGTGATTAAAATATCAATCTAATTTTTTTTATCACACTTCCAATAAAAGTGAGATCTTTTTTTTTGTCAAAGTGTGATCTTTAACTATTTTTGTAGTAGTGTAGGGCATTTATTTTGATGTTGCAGGATGTTACATGTGATGTCTTTCAATAAGAATACTCTGATGAATAACTCAAATGATTCGTTTTCTTTTATAAATGCATGTTAATGTTATGGTTATTATGGGTTTATTTTAAGGGCGTGACAGTTGAAGAGCGCGACTTGGTAACGTGAGATTGAAGTTCGCGAGAAGTATCCAGACCTTTTTATCGATGTTTGGGAGTTGTAATAGAAATGTTATTTTGATATTAGCATGTACATTGTATGTGTTATGGAATAGGGTGAATTTCTTATGTTTAATTGGGAGGTTGTGTTATCATGCCATGATTGCATTTCTACGGTTGTAATTGATTTTGATTCAACAAGGTTATCTAGTTTAAATTTCGGGGACAAAAATCCTTAAGGGGGGAAGGTTGTAACGAGTTGAATCAAATTGAATTTATACTTTAATCTCAGTTGGGGATTTATATTAAATTATTAAACTCCATTTATTTTGGACCCAATTGATTAAATTGTGACCCGTTAGTAACCATGTAATAGTGTTGTGATTTTATTATTTTTATTTGATTACCATAAAAGAGTTGTAAATATTTACGATGTGTACCATTAAATGAAATATATTTTGTAGTGAGAAAATATTATATTTACTTTTGTCATTAAAGATGTTGAAATGTATTTTTAATTGATATATATATATATAGGTGTATATATATGTTTAGATATTTGTTCAGTTAAAACAAAAACAAAGAAAAAAATATCTATAAATAGTAACCAAATAGATATTTTGTTCAACTTTTGGGAATTCTTGGAGTTCTTGCCCTGAGGAAACAAGAGAAAAGAGGTTCCAAGTTGGTTTTTCTTAGGTTTGATCTAGTGTAAGTCATTTTTGACCCCTAGTGCTTTGGATCAAAACGTAGAGGGCAGAAAAGGCATCGTTTGGCTCCGAGCAAAGTTAATTTTTTTTGCCAAAAATTTTGAAAGCTTCTTGGCTTGAGGTACAGATTTTTCCTACACTTCTTTATGCATTGTTACTTGATTATATGGAGCTTAGAGTTGTATATAATTTAATTAGAATTTTTGGAAAATTTGTGATTTAATTGCTTAAAAGAGAAATTCTGAGAAAAATAAAGAGTTGATGCCCAAATTGAAAAAGTGTAAACTTGGAATATGTTTGCAAGGTTATGAAAGAGATATTTTTTAAATTTGAACAAAAACGGACTTCGATTCAATCGGTTTTGAAATTTTTACCGTTTTGCGAGCAAAAGAGCATTTTGAAGGAAAACAAAGGAATTACATTTAACTTTTGGGGCTTTTGATCAAAATAGGATGTCATAGTTGAATAATGCTTGGAGAATGAGTTTGGAAAGAAAATGATGTTTTCTTGGGCATTAACAGTATTATTTTGCTTAATGTATCTGTTGAAATAAAACCGACAGGGTTAAAAATGGACCTTGAGAGGTTACCGAACGTGATTGTGATATGAAAACTAGTGTAGTTGTTTATATTTGACGAGATGTGGAATAGATTGTATTTATTGAAATTTTTAGAATTTAATTATTTAAATATCTGTTTAGAAATATCTGTTTTGGGCTATCGGTGGAGGATAGCCATGTTTGTTGTAGAAAGGCATGAGACTTAGGTAAATCGAACCACATTTCTCATTTATTTCATTGGACATTGCATTACATTCATTTCGTTGGAAATGTATCTATTTTTTAGAAATGTTTGTAAATATATCTGCTTGCGAGATGAATACTTGATGAATCTGGGTAGGGGGTGTGGAACTGCGCGGTTAGATATTGAGCCTTCTAGTTTATTGGTAAAAATGACAGTAGTAGTGCATTAGGGCCTACTTGCAGACACTCATCTAGAGATTCACAGAGCCTGTATTCATGCAACAGATATGGTTTAAAATGGAAATGGTTTTATATCTGTTGTTGTATCTCAGCATTGCATGCTTTATAAAAAGAGAGATAAATTGTTTTATCATGAGCATGGCATGGGCATACTCCTCTTTAGTCTTGTCATGGTTCATATGTTGTGTAGTATATCTCTACTGGGCTGTATAAGGGAAACCATTTCAGGTACAGATGGTATGTCTCCGCCAAGGCATTGACTTGGGAGGACTCGGAACTGAGACTTCATTTTTGTTTTATTGTTATTTGTTGAATGTAAGCCTAGAGCTGTATTTGTGTTGAGTTGAAACTCCATTTTGTGTAACTAAGAATGTTCTTGGATAAATTTGTAAGCCTGCAGGGCAATTATTATCTGTTTGGCTTCCATTTCATACTTGTTGTAAAATGTATGCTTGGGATTAGAACTGGGGCATTGAGATGTCAATAGCATGTATTTGCCATTTGGGATTTAATGGAAATGGATGTATGGAATAGTTACCT